GCCCAGGGTCGCTCCAGGCTGGCGCTCTCTCCCCCAGGCCTCAGCTTCCCCAGGGCTCCGGGACACGGTCCTTGCGCTACCTGCTTGGCCTGGCAGCGCCTTCACCACCTTTTCCAGCAGGGCCTTCTTGTTTTGGCTTTGGAGCTCCAGACCTGCAAAGAGGGTGGGGTAGAGGCAGCTCCCTCAGTCCCAGTGGTTTCTGGTGCCCGAGAAAGCTGGCTCAGGGAAAGCACCCTGGCTTTGCTCGGCCGTGACCCTCAGTTTCCTTTCCTATAAAATGGGATAATAAAAGGCTTGCTGAGGCAAGGTTTGGAGTAAGCCTCAGGTCCCACCTGCAGAAGCACCTACTCTGCAAGGCCCTGGCCCAGTTCCCCTCCCACCCTGCCTGGCTCTCTACACTGGAGAACCAGTGCCCACTCCCAGAATCCACCCAAGAGATTCCACTTATCCTCACTCCCACTGGAGCAAATTAAGGCACCAAGTGCTTGTCTATGGGGTCCTCTCACTCCCCAGGCTCCAGCTCTTCAAACTCAGAAACACTTAGCAGCTCGGGACAGGGAGGGACCCCATCTGTCCGCGGAGTGATGCAGGTTAAAGATGATCCCTAACAAGCCAGCAGGCCTGGTTGAGGGGGGAATGGTGGCTTCAAATGGGGAATGTGATCCTGGGGCGTGGACTGGCTCTCGCTGTTGCATCACTGCAGCTGGTGGGCTGGGCTGGCCTCATAACCAAGTCTGGCTGAGTCCCAGTTCTGTCCCTTCAGTATTCATTGACCTTTCCGAGTTTCAAGTCCCTCTTTGTTAATGGGGACAATTTTTCTACGCACCAGTTTGTGAGAATCAAATGAGAAAATGCCCTTACAAGCACTCAGCACAGAGTTAGTCACCTTGGATACTTGTCGCCTAAGAAGCACAGAAAATGATGGTCAATACAAAAGAATCACAGTGCTCTCAAAGATGCTCGAGAAACGTTCACTCTGGATCCAGCTAAGGGATATGGGAGGGAAGCCTAGGAAGGTGGCAAGATAGGGCGCCTACCTGGCCCCACTTACCCTGGGTGGTGTTCTGGGAGTTCTCCCGCTTTATGTCCCAGAAGAGATCCCTCTGAGCAGGATCCAAGGAGCTCCATTCTTCCCTCGAGAAATAGAAGGGAATGTCTCCCAATGCCCCAGGTCCCTGGAATGAGAAGACCTGACTGAGGCCACCACACCGCCTTGCTCAGCCTTCCCAGCAATTGTGGATGGGGGTAGCATGGGCAGGACAAAAGAGGCCTACAGGAGAAAAGCATGACCCATTTTATAATTTGGTTTCTTGCAACAAAGTTTTACTACATAGCCCAGGCTGGCCTTCAATTTGCAATCTCCTGCCTCGGCCTCCTGAATGCTGGGATTACAAGTACACGCACCATACCCAGCTGTGCCAAGGCCCATTTTATAGATTCAAAACACTGAGGTTCTCAGAGAATATTAAGAAACTGGTAACTCACATGGTCCCCAGAGGCAAAGCAGGCATCTGGTGTCTCTCTGGTACTCCTCTCTTTAAGAAGAGCAGGAAGCTGGGCTAAAGGAAAAGAACAGAGCCTCAGAGAGCCACTCCAGGCCCAAGACTGAGGCCCTCTAGCCTCCCCTCCACATGCAAATGTGCACACATTCAAGGAGGCACACACACACACACACGTACATATGACCGGGCTTCCCAGAACAGAAAGGCCCTGTCCAGCCACTCTGCCACCTAAAAGGACAGAGGTTACTCACCACGGTGGCTGGGCTGATCCTGGGGAGCAGGCAGCCGGCTCCATACCCCCATCAGGGGAGGCCCCTTGGCCTGGGATGTCTGGATCATGGCCTCAGGTTCCCCATTCTCTGAGGGCAAATCCTGTGAGGGCACAACATGCTCATCAGCACTGAGACCACGCAGGGGACACAGAGGTTAGTCCCTGGGAAGGAGACACAGAAACATGTCCCCCAGGAGTCCGGGATGTGTGGAAGGAGATCAACATGGAGCCCCAGGAAAACCCAGAGGGAAATGTGACACCAGGTAGTACTGTGGGCCCAAGACTCCCTCATCAATCACAAGGCAAGAACCAGGCCCCAAAGGCCAAGTCCACATCCACTGAGTAAGCATGAAGTAGAGGGACCTCCCGCCAAGGGCAAAACCCCACATCCACACCGCTCATTAGCATCTCCCCACATGGCTCCAGTGCCAAGGACCAAACAAGCCACAGGACAGCAGGATGCCAGCAGACAGCTGTCCCTCATACCCCTCTGGGGCTCTCATGCTTCTCACTGTATCCCCAGGGCCTGGCCTAGAGCAATAAATGTTTGCAGAACTTGTGTGGAATGTGTCCACCTTGTCCAACCAAGTCACCAAAAAAAAAAATGTACCGGACTCATCTTTCAGAAAGGCAACAAGTGTTCTGTCGCGTTTTCAAGTACGCTAGCTAAGGCTTGGTGTCTCCTCGGTCCCATGACCTTCCCGGAGACTCATCTCCACAGAGATGGCCACTTCTCTTCAGCCTAGGAATCATCCGGGTAACCTGGACACAGGAAGTCGCCCTCACCTGCCGCCAGGCCTTCACTGGCTGCTTCTGTAGGCCCTCCACCAAGGCAACAGCTTCCTCACCATTCACCGGGCACTGCCCCCGCACCTGGGCCTGGATCTCCCCCGGCAGCACCGTCAGGAACTGCTCCAGCACCAGCAGCTCCAGGATCTGCTCCTTGGTGTGCGATTCAGGCCGAAGCCAGCGGCAGCAGAGCTCCCAGAGCTGGCTGAAGGCCTCATGTGGCCCACCTACTTCCCTGTAGCAGAACTGACGAAAGCGCTGGCGGCAGGCCTCAGAATCCTTGCTGTCTTCCTGCTGGGCAGATTCCTGCTCCCAGGAGGAATCTTCCACCTTCACAATCAGAAGTCCTTCTCCCTCCCCAGGAGCCTGGTTCTGGGGCTCCTGGAGGGACGCCATTCCTCTGGTCTAAGGCTCAGGGCTGGCTGCCTTCAGCCTGGGCTCCAGAGCTGACCTTTTTAGTTGCCAAGAGGGATACCCTGTGGTGGCCAGGCTAGCATCTGGACATGAACTCCTAGGAAAAGAGCAGAATAGCAGGATTTTGGGGAAGGGTGGAATACAGGAGCAAACAAACACTATCCTTGAGGGATGTTCAGGGACTCCATCCAGTACCTGTTCTTTTGTAACCTTTTGTAATTATCTTGTTCTATAAAACCGTTCCTCCTGTTAATACAGGCCCATGATCCCTTTCCCCAAGTACGAAATGCAAAGCCTGTATTTTCCATGACTTGGTTGACTGTAAATACTAATCTCCCTCATTTGGAAGCACCACCAGACCTACTGATAAAAGCACATTTGTATATCCATTTATACTACTTATGTTTTATGGCATAAATATTACCATTTGTTAATTTTGTAAAGATTTACTAAGTTATATTTATAATGTTTTACCGTATGTATAATTCAAATCCCTCTGGAGATGTTAATATACTATGTGCACTGTATTCTTTTTCAAATTTAGAAACTTCTGTTTTTTTTTTTTTGGTTTGTTTGTTTTTTTGGTACCAGGGATCAAACTTGGGTCCTTGTGCTTTGGAGGCAGGCGGCAGAACCACTGAGCTAAATGCCCGGCCAGTGTATTTCAAATTTCAAGCTGGGTGTGGTGGCTCATGCCTGTAATCCCAGCATTCAGGAAGGCCAAGGCAGGAGAATGGCCACAAGTTCAAGGCCAGCCTGAAGTACGTAAGCAGATCCTGTCTCAAAAATAAAAGAATAAATTTCAAAGTTCATTTAGCCATTGGAGATGAGGGTATCAGAGAAGGGTGCACAGACACCATTCAAAGCCATTTATCCATAACAACATACGCATGTACTACACATCTTATACTTTATGTTGTCATTATTCACAATAATTCTGATACATGTATTTTAAAACTTTGTTTCAACAATAAACACAAACACTGCAGTAAAAAGAGGGTGATCTAAGCAATATGTAAATACATCAAAGAGAAACTTCCTCAATGCAAGTGCAAACCCTTCCCATTGACAGTCTGACATTATTATTAGGTCAGACTTTTCCTTATGCTTTTACTGAAAATGTTATTTATACAAATGGACCAGAGATGCTTGATGCGTTTCACACAAATGCGATTTTACTGTATACACTATGAATTTTGCTGTTTCCGCCTAGCAAGGCTTCCTTAGTGACACTGTGAGCTTCCGAGATGTGGATGTGCTCCAGTTTCTTAACCAACACCCGAGTGATGCAGTCAGGTTGCTTCCAATTCTCTATACACCCCAAGCACTTTATTTACTCTCCTGCTTCTCACAATATTCCTGAAAGGTATGCGCGCTGTTCTCATCCTCCAGTGACCGAGGAAGTCTCCTCAGTGAGGAACAGGACTCACCAGGGTCGCTCGGCAGGGCGTGGCAGGCGGGGACGCAGACCCGGCC